TTACATGTTGCGTTTTTCCAAATCACTTGTGGAAACACCTTCAGCAGCTGGAGTCCCCTCAAGAATAAGACCCTCCTATAAGAATTTGAGAAAAGAATGTCAAAAGGACATTACAAAACAATAAAGTAAAGAGCACTTAGGGAACTAGAGAGTAGGGGATAGGTTAACCAACTTTTGCCAAGTAAAGATTTCGATGGTCATGTTCCTCAGCTTTGGTCTTCTCCAACTCCTTATCATGTGCTGCCTTCTTATCCAAAGCTTTCAACACTTTCAGTTGCCTACCTTTGAGAAAAATCCCCAACCCAGATGCAGCGGTCGCAGCTGAAACAGCTGCAGAAGCTGCATCTGTTGTTTTAAACCTGAGAAACCCAGTACCCTTTGGTCGCCTGCCAACAGGTCACAAAGAAATTATATATTAATTAACTCAAAGAAATAAGGAAAAGAACCATTACAAACAAAATTCAGTTCATACTTGGTAACTTGATGGAGGACTGGAAGAAACGATTTCACTTCCCCAAATCCAGAAAATCTTTCTTTAACTTCATCGTTATCAATATCAAAAGGAAGGTTGCTTATGAAAATTGTTCTCTGCAACTCATCATCTTCCTCTGTCTTCTCAAAGTTCACTTTTTTGCTTTTGCTAGTTTTTTCAGGTATAGGAGCACCGGATTCTGTTGCAGACTCAATGGCCAACTTATCAGTCACATTAATGGCAGTTCCATCAAGATTCAACCTGTCGTCTCTCTTGGCAAGGATGGAATCATCAGAAAGGGAAGAAAGAGAACTTTTAGAAGAGGAAGTGACCAAGTTATTAAGAACTTTTCTTGCGATATCTGCTTCCTCCTTAAAGTCAAAATCAGTTGGTTCTTCACCTGCTGAAGTAAAGTCATCAGGCACAGTATCACCATCACCATCACTACTCGCACCTTCTTCCTCCAAATCAATGCTACTACTATCACTATGCTCTTCTCTTTCATTATGTTGCTCTGTAAAGGGACCAACTCACATTAGATAATAAATGTTCCATTTTCAAAGCAAATAGTCAAAGGTAATCAAACAGGTTTTCATCCATGTATTATGCTTAACAATTGTAACAAAACTTAAGCATCTTTATTCAAACTCAAAACTTTGATAGGCCTTGTTTAGCTGAAAGCCTCAATAAAACAATTCTAGAAGAATTATATAATATACATGCAATGCTCACGCATGCATATGCTTGTGTATTTATAGATTTTGTAGTGAAAATGAATAGGAAGTACTAAGGATATATATTTCAATACTCAAGCAGAAATTACATCACCATAATGGGAAAAAAAAAACAAAACAAAACAAAAACAAAAAGAACCAAAAGAAAGAAAAGGAAAGATGGGCAATATATGAATAGCATTAGACAAACACTGTTAACTGCCAGTAGTAGAAACTGGAACATTTTTCAAGGTGACTCATAGTTGTTTCTTTTTTACATATGTAACTAAAAGAACAAATGCATAACTTTAACCTATTTGGTACAGAAGAATTCATTCAGAAAGTAATTCATCAAAAGCTGGAAGTGCAGACAAGGAACTTAAAGGATACAAGATAATAAGAATATTGAAGAGAAGAAAAGTTCAGTAAAGGGAAAGCATTACCATCTTCTAAAGCAATAGCAGTATTAGCACCACTACTGTAAAGTTTCTTTGGAACAGCCCAATCAACAGCTATGGGTCTTTTACCAAACATTTGCCCATTGAATTTTTGAATGGCCTGAATGACATAAGGAAAAAGAAAAAAAGGTGAAAATATGAGATGCTGAAAACTCTAAAACTTCAAATCAATGACTGAAGCAGACAGAGGAATATACATTTTCTGCATCATTTTTACTTGTAAATTTCACAAATGCAAAACCTTTAGATGACCTGAAAAAAAAATGTAAAGGCAAAAATATAAGAGAACAAAGAATATGGCTTTTCATTCGTAATCAAAGGTGACTCTAGACAAACAGAAGATACCCTGTTCCAGAGTTATGTGGAATAAAGACATCCCAGACAAGTCCTGCTGATGAAAACACCTTTTTTATCTCATTCTCTTTAGCCTGTATATCAACATTCAACAAACTAATTAAGAAGCACAACATATCCATATAGAATTTAGTAGATGTCAAAACAAGACTAGCATAGAACAAACCTTGAAAGGAAGATTTCTGACAATAAGTTTCCACTTTTGAGTCTTGGATCCCTGGACCACCAATACCAAAGAGAAATTACCACACCATATCTGGCATTACAAGTATATATACAAAAGGGAATCTTAAAGACCGACTACAAAAGACCAGTTACAAGAACCATTTTGTGTTGTTTTACCCTATCTAAGCAATAACCCTCATGGGTGTCCCTGAGTGTTGATAATTACACCTACTGTCTCTGCGTCCAATGATGCTCTTATAAACTCTCCTCTTAAACTTCATGTATTCTCCGATTAAATCAAATCAAATCGAATCAATCTCCACCACCAACATATTACTATATTAGTAGTTATTCACCACATAAAACTATTTGAAATCATTTCTTATTTTAAACAATTATATACTCTTTAGCATTCCCCAGACACATTTATTCCCTTTTTTCACCTAGACACTGTGGATTCATTTGACTCTGCAGTGAGCAATGGAAGAAAAAAAATAGGAGGAATGTTTGACAGTGACAAACAATTGCCTAAGCTTTATCATCAGGGGGTAATTTTGAAATTGGTGGTGCAATCAAGCTCCAGGTAAATGAAAGAGCATGTCACAACTCCATGACCTGCTATTTTTCTTATTTTTCCTGATTTCCAAGTTTTGCCTTATTGCAATCTGAGTTAGACTTGGATGTGCATCCAGATGTTTTCCATCATTTACAGCTTGTAACAGAATTCAGAAAGCTGCTCACTTAGAATTAGAAGATAGTGAAAGCTCAGTTCAATTGACTACTTGACTAGTAATGCAAAAGTAAATGCTAGTAGCATTAGGACTACCAAAATTCTATCCCTCAGCCATCCACATAAAAATAAATACAACTCACAGCATCATAGCAATGTGAAAGCTTTACCTCACCACCAAGTTGGCGTGCCCAAATAATGCTTCCCTTTATCTCTTTTTTGTGTAACATTGCAACAGACGCACGAGCTTCTTTGACACTTGTAAAAAGTACAGCTGAAGCATCCAACTTGCAACCATCTTGTGCAAGACCTAGAGTTTCATGTTTTGTGTCCATTAATCCAAACCATAGAGATTAAACTAAAATATTAACGCATGAATCACAGCAAATTAAAAAAAAAAAAAAAAAAAGGTGTACAAGCGTATTTGTGTGTCATTTTGTTGCCATTAACACAAACTGAACAGATTAAAGTAAAATAATAACACATAAATCACCCCAAATAGAAACAGAAAAAAGAAAAGTGCATATAAGTCTTTGTGTGTTCACAGCTGCACATACCAATGAATTAGGGTCACAACATGCTAGTCTACTTAAAAGCTATTCAAACTCAACTCACTAAGAAGTTAGGCTCAACTCATTCACTTAATAAATAAGCAAAGCTCAAGCTTGGAGTAGAGCTCATTTAAATAAATGAGTTAAGGATGAGTATTGGTTTATTCAGCTCAAGATTGGAATAGAGCCCAATTAATCAAAAGAGTCAAGCTTGAGTATTGGTTTAGTGAACTCTGAAAGTGTGTGAGCTTAGTTCATTTATTTACATGATCTTAAACCTGAACTTGAGCTTGGGCCAAACTTGATCTTGACTCATTTAACTAAAAGACTTCCACAAAATGTTAGCTTAGAATCACTACAGTCAAGCTTGAGCTTGAACTTGTGTGTTATTTTTAAAAAGTTTACCATGGGCAGAACTCTAGTTCAATGAATTTTTTCAACCCAAGCTTGAGTCAAGAAGAATTCCTAGCTGACCCAAGCTTGATCTTCTCAATAATTTCGGGTTAGGCTTGGCTTGTTGTCATCCTTGCTGTGAATTCTGCTACTGAACAATAAGATTCATGTGAAATAAAAAGCTGCAACTTAATAGGCTTTTAATGAAGAAAAATGAGTGCATCACTATAGCAACAGTAATTTTCCTATTCCATGGATAGGCACAAAGGACATATCAAGAACGGAGCAAACTTCCAACAAAAGAAGAAAATTTAGTATCCAAGGCATTTCCACAAAAGGCAAAAATACATGATAACAGATTAGGAATGTAAAAGTTAACCTTCAAAAAGATATTCCTTACCATGTTGTTCAAGCTCTTCTTTTGGAAGAGGATAAGTTACAGAACATACAGTTCCAGCCTCCCTCGCCTGGCGATGAACATCTTCTGCAACCTCAGTATTGGAAAGACCACCAAATATAACAGTCCTTGCAACCCTTCATTATATTGACCAGAAAAATGAACACAACTCAGTATTTCAATTTGGTACATTAGAAAAGAACATTGTCATGCAATAACAGACACTATCAGAAAACTGGGCTCCCTAACAGATTCTAGCAGATGCATGGTTTAATGGGAAAAGCTAATTACTTCAACTTCAAAATTGGGGCCAGGAACCAAACATGGATGTTAACCTTCCAATTCAACAAACACAGTTTCTGTTCAACCAAAGATAATGTCATTACACCATACTCCCTCAATTCCACAACAAGTGTCTCGCTTCACTTTTTAAAACCAAGTCTGATTCTTTTAATTAATTAAAATAAAGAAAAAAGAGGCAAAGATCATCAAAGAATGGTAACAGGGACTATTAACATAAAATGAAGGGATAATATCTCATTCAAATAAGGAAACACAAAATCATATTATTTAGGAATATATCATCTTCAATCCAAAATTATTGCCAATAAGTTTCAAGCTACTTCCACTATGCCAAAATTTCAGCCTTTAAAAGATAGTTGCATTCAAATTCCAGAGAAAAAAGTACAACTCTACTCACTAAAGGAACATGTGATGAATATATAAGCTCAAAAAAATACTGGTGCCGTTTTAATAGAGTTGATCCCCTGAGTTTTTAAATGCAAGGTCAATATTTTCCACATTAATAAAAAAGATTGATTGTAAAATATCATGTCTGCTAGCTTATATAACCCAAATTCCCTTGTTTTATTAGCAGAATAAGTTCTAACATAAGTCAGGGTATAAATCTAATCTAGAAGACAATTGTGGCACAAATGAGGAATTAAAACATCCTCATGGATCAAATTCAGAAAAAATTGAACAGAAAACAATTTAGAAACTAATTTTATTACGCAAGCAATGGCAACAAGACTAGAACCCCCATTTCAGAGCAGATTTCACACTCTTTTTAACTTATTATACTAAAGTGTTATGACTTCTGCAAAAAGACTGAGGTATCAATAGGTACAAGTGTCTTTTTCTGAACAATAGATGAAAAAAAGAAAGGCATCAGAAGTTTTGTTTAGCTAAAATATAACAAAAGAATTTAGTACCTCTGCTTTTCTGAACAATTCTCTTTATCAGCTAAATCACCACAAAGTTTTGCTGGTTTTTTAGGCTGCACAGGTTTCCCTGTTTTTTCCATCCAAAATAACACATAAAAATAGGGAAAACCCAATTCACATGTGATAAACAAACAATCAAGATCGATAATGAACAAATATATATATATATAGATATATATAATGATTCCTGACCTGGTTCTCGCAAGTTTGAACCATGCTTGTCTGCACTGGAGGTAATACCATCCTTGTCATTCTTTGTTCCCAGTTTATCATCTGATGGAGTAACTAATACAATTTAAGTACAAAGAACATTTACCAAAAAGAATATATTGATATACCCATATACAATCTGGTTAAAAGGACAAAACTTCAAGCACACACAACAGAAGTCAAGAAATAATGTGAAATATACAAACCTTGGGTTGCTTTAGACCGACGTTGCTCCAGTGGGGCACGATGCATTGCATGTTTCACTCCAATTTTGCGGCCTCCAACAGATAAACCATTCTTTAGTTCAATAGCACGGTTTGCATCTTCTGCAATGGCACTGTACAGAGATGCAAGTACAAAAGGAAGGGTAAAAGAGAGCCTCAGTGCTGATTTCTTGTTAACATAGTTCCTTAAAGATGTGAATGTTTCCTAAAAGGCATGGAAGTTGAAACTCCATCTTTTCTGAGGATTAGAACATTCATTTTTCCAAATCATTGTTTTATGGCTCACGTGTGCCTTTATGGAGGAATAATAGTAGTAATAAATAGAGAACCAGTCACAACAGTGGCATAGTCCTCAAATATGTCCTATGGATGAGAAACCATTGAGTACTGGCTTCCTATTTATTGTACCACGCAATGAAAGTTATTCACTTCTCGTTGTCAATAATGTGTGCCTATAACTTCATCTGGGAATAAATCATACCAATTATGTTATAAGTTTGGCTAGCTTTAACATTGTGACTGACCCCTTATTTCAAAATCTTTAAAATAATGTAATGTGTTTAGACAACAATGTCCTGCTTCAGGAAACTAACAGTAGCAAGCTACAAGATTTCCCTAGTAACTAAAATCATCAAACCAAACTGATAAGCCTGTATGAGAAAATATAGCCCAAAGAAAGAAAAAGGAGAAGCAACTTCAGAATAGGAAGGGGAATGGAAAAAAAAAAGGGTTAATTTATGAATATTATGTTTTAAATGCATCTAGAAAACAAATAATCAACCTTAAAAAAGTGCCAAAAGTGAACCTCAGTGAAGAAAATAAAAGTTAAAATGAACTTACAATTGAACAAAACCAAAGCCACGATGCTCAGTTGACCCTATGAGCATGAAACACAACAGATTAGTAATTTTATAACACAGATATTAAACGAAGGGAAGTGATGATCAACAAAGTTGATCTCCATAAACCATTAACTGTAAGCCCAATTTCTAGCTATTCAAACTAAATTCAGCAGAAGAATTAATTGTTCAATATCAACCAGGAGCCTTTGCTTAGCATAGAATAACTGTTTTAGATACTATTTTATTCTCCAAGTCCATAAATGAACCAGAAAAAAATTCAGAATGATTGGTTTAAAAAAACTAAAATTATTGAAAATAACTAAGTAAGAAAAACAACCAAGAACATGCAATCTTTAATCTGAAAAAGAATCTCAGAACCCAATATGGGTTAGAAATCCATATCATTTAAATTCACTATCTTAATTAGAAAAACGAATTCACGTACCCTTCTTTGTAACCATAAAGCAACGCCTGATTGGACCAACATCACTGAATGTCTCTTCAAGCTACAAAAAACAGAAAAAAAATAAGACAACGAAAAATGACTCCTTAAAAATAAAATGCTAGACCTTTTTCACTTTATTCATTGATTTTTTTTTTTATAACTGCAGCTAAAGCAGCTTGTTTGACTAGAAATTATGAGTTAAGTTATAATCGAATTAGTGCAAATAAAGAAAAAGCTTAGACATTTTACCAAAAAACCCAACAGGGAATAAAGAAATAGAGATTACCTGAGAGTTGTTAAAGGAATAGGGCAGATTGGAGACGAAAACAGTTGATGGGCTGTGCTCAGTTTCAAACCTCTTCTCTTCTCTCTTCTTCTTCCCCATTGATAAATTTTATTGAGCCAATGAAGTTATAATTTACCAATTACAAGCCAAAAAAAAGAGCAATCTGCCAACATGAACGGAATACGTAAATAAACTGAAATCTGCCAAAAAAAGATAAGTTCGAATTAAGATTAAAAAGGCGACCAAGAAAATGAAAATTGAAAACGGAGGTTGCTGAGATTGAGCACGCAGCGTGACCGCAAAGAAGGAGAAGAGATTGGAAGGAGAGAAGGTGAAGCGAGACGATGAAGGAAGAGAAAGACGTTACCGGGACAGAGAAGGCAGAGCCAGTTGAGCAGAGTGCAGAAGAAGGAAGGGACGGTGGCTGCCTAAAACCCTCTTCCCCGATTCTGGTTTTCTAGAAAACCTCACATTTGGCACAAAAACTTTGAAAAAATGTCATTTAAGTCCCAAACTGTTTCAACAGTACATCAATCAGTCCCTATAGTCCCTGGAGTTTTAAAATTCCATGTGACACTAATTATAATTCAAATATTAAATGCTTACAATGTTATATAATGATGTGATATTAAACGAGTATATATATATATTAATTCATTTATAAATTTAGAATAAAAAAACTTATTATATAATAAATATAAAATTTTATAATTATAAACTTATAATATCTTAGGACATTATAACCTTATAATTAACATTTTCAATTACAATTAGAGTTGGTGCCTATCAAACATGTGCCAACAACCTCATTGTCAAATCCAGGGAGGAACTCGAGTAAAACTTCAGGTAGGGCAAAAACAATTTTAAGGGTATAAGTTTATAAAAGAAAAATTTTTGAGGGACCAAATATTAAAAAAATCTAGGGATAAACCGATGCTTTGAAATTGACATTATTTGGCGATGCCATTCCTCCGACCTTTGCCGAATCGAGAATTTGGGCTTCATTTCGACAACTGTACTTTCTTGTTAGGGCCCAAGTAGTAATGACAGGTAACGCTTTACGCTTGGGCCACAATATGGTGATTGCATCAGGAAACCTGTTGCCCGAAGTACCAAAATGGGCCTATTATTCTATTGTTTTATGAGTACGGATCGACTTTTTTCGGCCATCAATCGGGATTAAATTACACTAATTATAAGTTTAACAAACTTATACAATTTTTAGTCGCGTATTTTAAATGAATAATGGTAAATGAGATGAAAATTTTGAGACGAAAATTTGAAAGTATGATATAATAGAAACCACGTTATGTAAAGTATTAAAAAGTAAATTTTATATTATTTAATAATTAATTTCTTTTTTAGATTTATAATA